CAAAATATAACATAATACCGACTATATAAGATTATAGGTAAAAAAGTCTGAACGGTGTGAATATATGGTTACGAGTACGTCATGTGTAGGCATAAGATTTGGGGTCTTTAAAAAATAAAGTATACGATATCCTAAAGGGGATAGACGAGTGTATGAAATTGAGTAGAAACTATCTTGGCTGTGGAATAGGCTTCAAGAAAGGGAGAGAAAGGGGCAGGAACAACCGTTAAACTGAAGTGGTTTGCAAAGTCCTGGGTCTAGTTAGGGCTTTTATAGCCCATGCCATGAATTTTGTATATGTGCAGTATACCATATCATAAACCTAAATCCGCGTCGATATTAGGTTATCAAACGCTAGTTTATATATGTAAGGAAATATTTTAAACCACATTTACTTCTTTTCATTCTTCAACTTTACACAATTCGCAAGCATATAGTGTAAACATGAAAAAATCAACCAAATAGCAGGTGATTAGGTATGCAGTCGTCCATTTTTCCTCTTTGTGTACTATTTTGGTACAGAGTTTGAGAATCTAGAGTTTTTTTGATCTGGTTATGTCCGTTTCGTGAAAGATGAAGGCATGGATTCATCAGAGTCGAAGGAAGGTCAGCCGAGAACTTAATCTTAAAATCCAATCTTCTTTAGGTTTCCGCTGAGGCAAATTAATGAATCCTTTTAATTCATACTTTCTTTCGAATTGAATAGTCTATTCACATTAACTTATTAAGGTTTTTTTAGAAACTCAGCTGTTCTGCATCTTTCTATAATGTATGAATGCTTGCCTGAGATTCCACTGTCCTTACTAATGGCTCTCCCAATAATTGTCAGGTTCTCACCAAGCCATGTATATCACTGTAACGATATTTGTTCTTTGATTTATATTGGCATTTTCTTTCTTTTGATGCAAATGATTACAAAATATAGCATATATTTAGGATAAAATGTTAGACAAAACGCACTTTCAGGTGCCTAACCCGTTGTAGATCTACCAATACCAATCTACATTACTTTTATACTTAAAGATCCTCTGGTGAAATCTTCCAAATAATTTTTTGGGATGACTATCTTAGCTTGATTTTTTAACCTCTCAGATATTTCTAGGATTTTTTATTGATTCTTTGCTGATATGGGAAATCGCTATCATGATATATTATTCCATATATGCCAGGATATCTTAATGAAAATTGGCACAGTCTCACATGGTATCTTCTAGGCTAGCCATAATTATGAGTCAGTCACGGTAATAAAATAACTGCATATTCACATCCAAACGCCTTATAAACTAAAGCTAGATACAATTCATAAATGACAGACTAGCTAAATTGTAAACTACAACTTTAATTAGACATAGGACAAGCATTTCTCCAATTTGCTCGGCGATGACTCACGAAAAGGGAATCTATGAAACCTGGTGGTTAGTGTTCAGATGATAACTTATCAGCAAGACTTAGATTTTTAGCTTCATTGATATTGATGAGGTTCGAGATGTCTGGTACTGACTAAATAATTTAAAGCTGAACTCATTATTAAGTAAGGCTCTCATATAGTATGCATTTTAAATATAATTATAGTCTTATAGGAGAAAAGGAAACAAAATTGCACATTGGACTTAATTTCAGAATAATGTGCTTCCAACTTTGGCATTTGAAATAAATCATTTCGATTCATATTAAAGTGAGAAATTTTCTTCGAAATTTTCTTGCTTGTTTTCTTTATGATGACTCATCCTTAAATAACCAGTTACCTTAAACATTATTTTGGTTAGTATGAAACATGACGCCTTCATATCTATCGTCCTCACAAGCAGGTCCACCAGTAAAATATTTTAAAGTAAGTTGTATACTTTGAATCGTTAAGTTTAGAACCTGCCAGGACTCGAGCCCACTAAAAACGTTTCTTACCATTAAATAAGTTCTTATAGAGGATCTACTGATAGCTTAAAACCCCACTCATTGTGTCTTTTTAAGTATAATCGAGTTAAATGGCAAACAAGAGCTTGTCCTATTGATACCAGTTTAATAAAAAATATTAATTGTGAAGGGCTTGGCTTGCCTTAAACGCCATAGTTGCTTTGTGACCCTCTATGCATTTAGCAGCGTGACGACGGAATAACGTTGTAACTTGACCCTCAAGAACTAGCTTATACTCCAGTTGGGGATGACATTTAGGTTGGAACCGAAACCTGGCCTGAAGAAGACCTTTTGGAAGCCTTCAATTGCATTGTGAGGCCTTCTAGTTATTTTGATGTGAAGGACTTGATTATTTACCTTTACAATGCCTTGCGCCACCTAAGGTTACTAGATTTCTAGAAGTTTATATGAAACTTTCATTGTTCAGAATGCAATACGTGGAAAAGACAGTGACATTATTCGTGAAATGCACATTTACTGTTCAATTGGCAAATATGACGAGGAATATAGAATATCCAGTTTTGCCAAAACAGGAAAATTTCACACAACCATGATTCCTAAAATTTATTTTTATTCCAGAGTGGACTGCAGTTTCGATCTCTCATAGGTCTCATTAACACTTTTAGCAGGAATCAAACCAGAGTGGTGCAGCCTGGCGTAGTAATTAATGTGTCGAGATTCTACACTGCCCTGCCCATCTTTTAGCTCACTTGGAGGTGTTGCTGAGACCTAGGCGAGGTAGAAGCTGCAGTCCACCATGGAATTGAATACATTTTGGCTATGTGAAATTCAATGGGAGAGTGTGGAATACTTATATCATTGTGGGAAAATACAACTGCTAGTCCTTTATGACCTTAAAAAAAATAGGGCAAACGAATCTCATTTAAAGATTAGTTGCTAAAATGATTAATCTTATCCTAATTAAAGTCTGTATTTAATTAATTATGCAGGCTTTTGCCAATAGTATATCCATTCACTTACATCACTTACCTCACGATCCAAGATAAAAACAACATTGTATTATGAAGAGAAGCTGAGTTTTGATTAATCCCTTATTAGATTGATTCTTGCGCATCTATCATCTCGTTCAAAATGGCGGATGGAAATTATTCGTAAATTGGCCTCACCGACTACCGAAAAAGGATTATCCGAAGAAATGGTTGTTCAGCCAGCCACCTCTTTTGGTTTTGTTATTCTTGGCGATTGTTCGTAAATACTAGCTTCTGACTCTGACGATATCAATCACATGGCGAATAAAAGCTCAGCACGGATTCATCGGGGTCGCAAGGCAGGGAGCCAAAGTCTTACTTTCATAGTCCCCGTTCTGCCATCGGCTTTTCTCGGCCTGTATGTTTCTTTGTATCACTTCGATTGGATAGCCATTGCCGAGCAATATCCTATTCAATTTGTCCATAAAGAAGGGCCCCATACGGTGACAACACAGGGAAGCGGAAGATAAAGGAGGCCATCGACATCCTTGGGGAGAAAAATCTAGTGAACAGGCAGACTGGAGGAAAGTAGAGTTAGCGATGACTTTGTCTGCTGCTTAAGCAAACTCGAGAAAAACAAGAATAAAGTAAGACCAGCAAAAAGGAGACGACTGGATCAAAGATCTACCGCTAACCGGAGGAAAAGAGATCGCAATGAAGAAAGGGGGGGCAGGGATTTTTCGGCAATAAAGCAAAGACGTTGTCAGTGAGTGATGGCCATTTCGAATAAACTAGTACAACTTTGGGGGCCTGGCAGTCAGGAAGCTGGGCAGACGGATAAGCAAACCGTCACGGAAATTCGGCGTTGTGGCCAAAATGTACTAGAAATCCACTTGAGATGTCGCATGCGACCAGAGATAGACGTCCACAGTTTGCTCAGATAACATGGGTT